TATTTTCTAAATAAAATGCAAACACAGAGTTTGTAAGGGAGAAACAGCAGTAGTGGAAAAAAAAAACTCATAAAGCAACTAATCAAATGTCAGTATCTGCCTTAATTCAAATTTTTCCCAAGATTGTTTCATCACCTTTTCTCTGCTAGTTAAAAGTATACCGAGAAAAGATAACAGCTATTATAACAAAAAAGTATTTAGGTAGAAATAAAACCATAATTTTAAAAGTGTTTTTATGATTTTTGAAATAAATATGTGAAAAAAATTTACCTCAATTTATGAAAAAGTACTTTTAAAAAGTACTTATAAGATTACCCAAACATCCCTAAAATCTAAAATAGTTATGACTTTTAAGATTCTTGCTACTGCCAATACCCAGAATAAACCTTGTATAGAATTTAGTTTGAGCAAGATTGTTAGGTTAAGGTGCAAATTTATTTAGGAAACGTCTGCAAATGTATACTTGCCACCATAATATTCACTTGGATGCAAAAATATCATGTCTATAAATTTAAATAAATGTTTGTTAACTTTTAGAACATAAATGGGTGTAGCACCCACCATTAAAAAAATAATTGATGTTTGCTTAAATAAATTATTGTGGTATTTTTTGTGTCATTTTCAACTTTTCACGGATGTTTGGTCTCAAATAAATACCATGATGCCATGTGCATATTTGTAAAAAAAAAATTATAAGTAGATTTGCATCTTAATTCGATAGAGTTAACTGTACATGCATAGTCTCTATTTGCAACATATAGTGAATTGTGGTGTTCATTACTATTTTTATGATACATCGATTTCATGCTGATATATCAAAATTAGACAGGTTAAACTAAAAGTTTAAATGGGCAATCCACGAAGTTTGGAACTAAAAAATAAAAGTTTCAATTTAGACTATAATGGACACAGTTTATGGTACAAGACAGCGTTATTACGGGATGCTCAAAGTCAATCAATAACCATTAGCAGCGCAATACGGATATTTGCAGGCTCACGGAACTCATAAAACAAACCGCCATAATGAGAGCGTCGTTGGCGATCACATCCCAAAATGAAAATGTATGAACTCCATCATCTAATTTATGGGCTGCCAACAAGTGAAAAAACCATGGACGAATTTGACACATTCTAAGAAGTGATTAATTAAGAAAATATCAAACACATTGATGTTATTGTTGTAATAAGTTTCATTAGCATATTCTCATAGCTGGGGCTTCCAAAGTAAAAATGATAGTGATATTGAATAACTTACTAATGAGAGGCAAATGGTTAGAGTCTAGTGATATGAGCAACGAAGGCTTCTATTTCTAAACGAGAAACTCCTCCTTCACCACATGACTGCAAGACGACATCTTTGAGGTTCGTGGCCTTGTTTCTCATCCCATCTCCTTCCTTTGTTGCCATCAATCTTCTCACAGCATTCTTAACAGCTGAAGCTGTCACCAACTGATCTCCGTGAGCCCAGTCCCTCACCATTAAGCCAATCTGAAGAACTTGCGCTATCAAAACTCTCTTCCTTGGCTGGTCCGAGTGCACAGGCCATGCGACCAGTGGCACTCCCATTGTGATGCTCTCCATGCATGAGTTCCACCCACAGTGACTCATAAACCCACCTGTTGAAGGATGGCTTAGGATCTCCAATTGGGGTGCCCAGTCTCTTACAATCAAACCAGTCCCTTTCACTCTCTCTTCAAACCCTTCCAAATACTGTTCGTCTCCTGTAATTTGGACATCAGAGTCGTCTCCTTTATCAGCATGCCTCAGCACCCAAATGAACTTAACCTCGCTTTCTTCCAACCCAATTGCAAGCTGCTCGATTTGTTTTTCTGTGAAGGTGGTGGTTGTTCCAAAAGACACATATATGACTGAGTTTTGCTCCTGTTTGTCTAGCCAGTCCAAGCTAAAGTGCCTTCTTTGTGAGCTCTTTCTCTCAATCACCAGAGGGTTGAAGGGACCAAGAGCCCAATGCTTCTTGCTACAGTTGATACGTTCTATTAACTGCATGTAAGGGCCTTCAATATCCCTGGTTGTGTTGTAGATATTCCCGTTACTGAATTTACGGAAATTATGCTGCGCAGAAATGAAGTCCATGAACTGAGCTGTGAAGCATCCTTCAAGAGAAGGAAATTCTGGTATGCGAATGTTTTCCATGGAAGGTTTTCCCTTTCCCTCCCAGAAAAACAAGGACATGGTAAAGGCAGATACACTATGGAAAGTGTAGGTCTCAGCGTTGGCTATAGCAGCAGCATCTTGTATCACAGACGCCATTAGAGACTCATAGATGACAACCACTCTTCTAGATACAGACGAAAGGGACAGTAAAAGTGTGGCTACAGGCTCACGAAGATGGTGAGAATTGAAGGCCTCGAAAGAGGGAATGAAGTAAGATGGGAATCTGGTTTGAGGACTGATGAGATAATGCAGAGTATCAGAATCATCACAAGCAGGAAGATGGAACTGATGAAGATGGAAGTTTGAAGAAGAGTAAGGGTCCCAATAAGCTTGAAGACGAAGTATGGCTTGCTGGGTATGAATTGGTGTGCCAACACAGTGAACTGGTATGTTATAAGCCAATATTAAGCGGCAAAGATTGGTTCACATGGCCATGGGCTGGGAAAGGTACAACCACCACGACCACCTGGTGGCTTTGTCCATTGGACGCCATTGATGAATATGGTTTTGGAGCCTATACAATCAAATTAGTTAAGAGATGACTAATGCGTGATTTGTTATGTGTTCTATGAGAGCTGCTTTTATAGAACCTCTCGCTTGGGAAAATTCTAGCTAGTTACTGTAACTAAACGAGATATTACTTCTCGTTGTTAGTGCGGCAATTTAAGTTGTAAATTTGGGAGATTTCAGGATCATATATAAGAGATAATCTGGCTGAATCGCGTGCAGAATCAGAACCTCATGAAGCGAAATTGCATATAAAGGAAAGTAAAATTGTAATTCTGATTCGTGATTTCAACACTTCAGTAGGCCGTTGATTTTTGTTGCTCTGAAGAGAGATTGGTAAACAAAAGTTTTGGGTTTTATTTTTGGGAAAACTATTCCCCAACTCCTTATACATTACATCAATTTTCAATTAGGTCCTTATAAAACTTAATTAACAGCTTAATTAAGTTTTATAAAGACCTAATTCAAAGAAAGCTCTATTGTTCCTATAATTAACAGCTAAATCTGTCATGAATTTATAAAAGTAAGGCAACGTATTTGTGTTTTTAGGCCTCACTTCATCCTTATATTATGCATAATGCATATTAAAGTTGACGGCCTTTCAAAATATGACAAATCAATATTTAAATTTTTATTAGGAGAGATGTCTACATTTAGTATCCAATAGTGTTTTAAATAGGATTATTCTAGTAAGAAGATACCTGTCTTTAAGGGGAAAGTTGATGGTGACCTTAGATGACCAAATCTACTGAAACTAGGAGACAAATTCTTTTGGTGACAAATTAAAATAATAGAGGACAAAGAAAAGCACCACATTCTTGCCGAGCATTGTGTTATTCCAATCTAAATTATTACTCTATATAAGCCAAAATTGCAAGCAAGTTTAGCTAATTATATAATAACTAATTATATGTCTTGTAATAATAACTAATTACACTTTCTGTGATAAGAAGTGTCTCTTTCTTGATGTATATATATGGACCTTCCATAAATTTACATCACTAGTTGGCTTCTTTATGTGATTAACTGCTCAGTTTAACAATTATATTTATTTTTATAAATTTATTTAAGAGGATTGTGGGCCCTTGGATGGCAAGAGCTAGGGTTAGTGCGCGCAATTATTGAATGTAATGAAGTCTTCAAGGGGAAAATCAATTTGTAAAGAAGAGTGATTTGAGTTGAGCAATTATTTTAGGATTGGATTTGGCGTGATGAGATTCAGGAAAGGTCTAGGGTTTGCCGATCGTGCACATTCATATATCCATCGATTGAATTAACCAAACAACCAATTTTTAGGTTTTGCCGACTATATGTTCTATGGATATACAATCTATATATCTTATAAACCACTTGTTACGCAAATTTCAATCAAGAAAATAAAAGATGAGTAAGAGCTATGTAGTTTAGCTTAATTTAATATTGCAGATTTTGAAATTTCACACAATTCGAACGATGTTTAATTTCTAAGACAAAACAGCTCTCATTTTAAATTCCCAGCCACCTATTTCATACACCGCAGAAGAAAAAGATGGCACATACAAAATGGACAGCTAAAATTTTAAAAACTGCTTGAACCAATTTTGCGAAGCTCGAATTCTTTTTTGTTGCATTATTGAATATTGATTGCTTTCTTTTTTCGTTTTCCACTTTTGTTCTCCTTTTTCTTCTTGTCGACTTCCTTATTATCCGACAAAGATATGCTCCTGTCAATTACAATCTTGACATGCAATCCGCCCCCAATATATACAGGCACTGATGTGTTTGTGCTGAAACTTTATATATATATATATATATATATATATATATATATAAAAATTAACTGCTAAAAAGTTTTGGACTATTCATATAACTAAATACTAATCAACAGAACGTCCCAAAATGACATCTGTCGGCTAAAGTAACTAAAGAGGATAAGGTTTAAAAACCATACCTATTATTAATGTAAAATTTGTTTAGCTAATTTGATTAGATTAAAAAATTAATTAAATTAATTAATTATAATAAATATGACATGCTGTTTTAAAATACTTTTATTTAGGATTGTCTTTAACTTCAATTATCAATGTAAGAAAAATCTACCATCTTGTTGAGAAAATATTAATAGACAGTAGCTTAAGAGGAAAGTAATAAATATGAAAAAAAAAATAGTACATTTAAGACCAAAAATAACTCTGCAATTAAATCTTAATCAAGGAGTAGAGGAGTAATATTCTCCTGGATGCTTCAAAGCCAGCCTCGTGAATCTGTCCACGGGAGAGTCGGGTCCCATATTTACCTTATTCTATGCTTAATGCACAAAAGAGTGATGGAAACAAAAATATAGAAAGCAAAATTCCAAGATACGGTGCCCTCAAGGGTAAAAAGTACAACTATCAGCATTGCAAGGGAGTCAATGGATGTTAAAGACTAGTATAACTTTTAACTAAGTATTGATGCGGATGCATTCACCGTTTACCGTTTGTACATCAATGACTGGTGGAAATTGCATCAGGGGCATTCAAATTTATACATGTATGGATCGGATAGCATAAGGCCTCACAGAAAGCTCAACTTGTGACCACAAAAAATGGGCAGTGTAGGTCACCGCAAAGGAAAGATGGCATTTTCATTCCATGGAAAGAAGTTCAGCACATCCAAAACCAAATCATCCACTAGCATCCATCAAGGTTGTTATATATGGGTATATGACAGCTCAAGGACTGCAAAGATTCTTAATGTCCTCCTCCTTGGCATACCAACTAGGTATGATTTTTGAAACATGAGGATAAAGATCCTTGTAGGAGTTCCTAATGGTTCCTTCTGCGACCCCTGTGGCCACTGATATATCTGCAACCAATAAATCAAGTCATATATACATGTACTACAAAGGATAAGAATTCCCTCTTAAACATGAACATGGATGCCGGCGGAATTTCTTTCTAGAGACAATTCCTACTCTAGTTTTCCGCTTTTTCACTGATATAGTGTATTTGTGTTTAAAGAGATCTTACAAACCTTTGAGAGGTTTCTTATCATCTGAAAGCTGAGTTATAATGTATATCACAGCTGCAGCTATTGATATGGGGCTCCTCCTGGCAAAGATTAGACGTTTTATTAGAATTGATCATCAGTGTATAGTAATCTGCTTCAACATAGACCAACATTAATGCCTCCACAGAGCAACTAAAGGTAGATAATCACAGGCTGAGATTACAGTTGCCAGTAAAAGACATAGAAGCTAGTGGCCAAATACAATTGTCACTTCAAGTTGCACGCACACATCCACAGGAAGTTTCTGAACCCAAAATCTCACCCTTTCTTACTCACAGGCAAACTGCTTAAGCCTCAATCAAACAGCACAGTCACAATTATCGACAGAACCATGATCTTAGTATATCTTCATTTCACTTCAGAGTTTACAGATATGACACACATGGCACATAGTATAAACAGTTCAGATTTCAAACCTTACCCCCAACACAGCTTTCAAAAGTGACAATTAAATCTGATGCTAATTGTTTCAGTCAAGATAATTATAAAACCCTCATCTTAAGCTGATATCTTCATTTTATTTTATAACAAAATCCCCCAGAGTTTTTACTTCAGCCACCTATTTGATTGAAGTCATTATAAGCAATCAGCGAGTAACATGTTCACAGATCAATAGAAGTGAGAACAATACGATAGGCTAACCTTAAGTATCAGTACAATTACCTTATATCAAATTCTTCTGATTTCTGCACAGATTCCTGAGCAGCTTTAACCGCTTGATTATTCATGCCAAGATTAGAACAGAATCGCCTCTGAAGTTTTTTTTTTTTCAAATAAAAAAGATAATGTTAGTAACACCATTTGGAATCTATCAGCAACTAAGATGAGAAAGCTTGCCAACACAGCTGCCAAAAAAGCAAGATATACTACATTTCAATAAAAATTACGCACCATAAAGTCCCCAGCATGTATTGTTCCCATCTCCACTGACTGACCCTTCTCCAAACCCAGTTGTTTCACTATATATTCTTTTGCTCGGCCAATTTCCTTCTTTGTAGCTCCATTGGCAACAGAGCAAATTTCTAGTTGAAATCCATAGGTTCAGCCTTTCAGGGCAGCTCATTTTTATAGGGAAAGATAAATAGGAAGCATCCAGACGTTAAAAGAATCACAACATGTACCTTTTACAGTACGTGGTTTGGCTTCCTCTCGGCAAGCTATGTAAAGGCAAGCAGCCAACAAAGCATCCTGGTTTCTCCCCCTACTGGACTTCTGATCTTCAACCCTCTTATATATTTCATTAGCCCGATCCTTTGAATGAACAGCAAAAGGAATAAAAATATGGCTAAAACACTCACTTAAAAGATGAACATAAAAGCACAGAAGATAACAGATTCAAGGTGCAATTGACATGATGTAAGGTACACAAACATGGTCATAGAATGCTCAATCAATCAAAGTAATCATATGCAGTGCATATAGATGCAGCATCACCAAACTTCCCCATAACAAGTGAAGTGTCCAAGACGAGAGTGTATCATACCTTAATGGTAGCAACAAGTCCTAACCTGAAAATGTATAACCAATCAGTTAGTTTCCCAATAGAAAAACTCAAGTAAAGGATGATAAAAAAATCCCGCTCTTTTAGGCATGAATATAAAAACATAAAAATAGTAAGAGTATTAATTATGAGCTATAGATACTCTCATAGAGCTTCCGAAGTATAAACAATAATCAATAAATGAAGAGAAAGAAAACCCCAGATGAAGATTGGGGAGACACCATTTAACAAGATGAAAAAACTCATCCCAACAAAAGGAATGGTAAGCAAAGCATGTTTCAGAATGTATAGATATACATCCTGTTGCACAAATTACAATGGTTGCCAATAAATAATAATCCAGGTAGAATCAGAGTCACGCTACCCAAGCCTAGGGATGGACCAAGGCTTAGCATCTCAGGGCTAGCTTCCTGCCCACCTAAAGAATGACCAAAGATGCTATTACTAGCGTCTTGCTGATTCTTGTAAGTCCAATGATTCATGCCCCCACTTTCACGTAGGTGATGAGAAACATCTAGAGAAGCTTTACTACACAAGAGAAGACCGCCTGGATGATACAACATTGGGTTACAATACTGAAAGTGCTTTATAAAGAATTCACTCCAGCCCCTTTGTGCACACTCCTACGGATCATTAAGCTCTCTAGAAAATATAGTATCCTAGGTCCATTTACCGCCGTTATGTGGATGGTGTGACCATTTGAGACCCAAGATGGTGGCGCAGCATATTTTGCTCCCCATGCTACTTTTCTGGTTCCGTCCCTGGCCTGAGTTATTCACCTATTACTATCTCAAGAGAGAATTATAACAACGAAAGGATCACCAAATCTATATGCAAAGAGCAATTGACATCACAGTTTGCAATAACTGAGAGACTTATAAGAACGAAAGGATCACCAAATCTACATGCAAACAGCAATTGACATCACAGTTTGCAATAACTAAGATATGGAAATTTAATAATTCCTCTTTCACTACCATGATATAGCAGAAAAAGCTTCTCGGTGAGATTTCTAATCGAACGATGTCCAATAAAGAATTGTCCAAGATAAAAATTCAACGCTATGTTGATTGAAATTTAACAAACAGTCTAGCAGTCCCGAATATATACAAGTTCAACCGTCTCGCCCCTTATAGCTTCGGTCTTCGAAAGGCAATACCGAGATAAAGTCGAACAAATTCTAGCAACGTTAATCCCAGGTTTCTAGGAAAATTTCATCCTCCGTATCAAGTTTCTCAGATTAAATTTTTTTGCCCAGCAAAGCATCACCGCTATTGATGATAACTAAGAGCTCAGTAAACCGTGTCTCACCTATCTGACATAGTAGCAATGGTCTTGAAAGCCAGAATCAACCCTCGATCCGGGTTCGACCCGCGATTCTGCCACCGACCCAAGGACGACGATAGAAATTCGCCGGAGGTTCCATTGGGCTTGGCTATGACGGTGGATAAACCGCAGTCACTCAAGAGCGGGTTGGTGGGTCCCCCGACACGAACCGGGTCGTTATCAGCAGACTCGTTGGCGAAAATACGCCACTCAAAAATTTCATCAATGGAATGGGACTCGAGCACAAGCCCGCACTCCGAACACACGATGTCACCGGCGGAGTGGTCGGAGACCACCTCTGTCTGGCGCTTACAGTCGGAGCAGAACGCATCAGACATTTTTTCTAAAATCACCAAGAACGTGAAGGAAATTGATTCAGATTCCTGTTAATGATTCAACCTTTTCTCGCACCAAAAAGACTCAATGTTTTTAGCTAGCGTACCAGGCGATGGGGATTATGAGATGAGAGCTGATTTCCAGCAGTTTCACGCATATGTAAGGGTCGTTTCTTCCCCGCTAAGTTTTTTTATATTTTTTGGCCAAATCTTCCCCGCTAAGGTTTGTGCGCGCTAAAAAGGATAGACAAACCGAACACCCAAAAACAAAAAAAAAATATTTGAGGAAGATCAAAACTATAATTCCAGAAATACTTTTACTGTGTGTATATATATATATATGAGATAAATATATAAAAAAGTTTATTTCGATTTAAAAAAATATATATCTGAAAAGTAATTATTTGAGATATCCAAATATCAAAAACCAAAAAGAGGGGATCGTTGGGTATACATAGGAAAGTGGAAAGAGAAGTAAATGACTGGACCTGCTCGGGAGTTCACGTGGGTTGTCTTTGCTTGCTGGGTTGGGCGAATTGGATCGATCCCATTGGGTATGATTTGAATAACAATATTTTTTTGTCTATTTCTCGAGCTCCTTTATTTTCACCCATCGAGCATCCATTGAAAATAATTTTTTCAACCATTCACTGTCTTCTATTGTTCTTTATTTTTATCTAATAAAAAAAACTCCACACCTTAAACACACAATCTCATATTTAAGCAAAATTTAGAGGAAAAAGCATTTTTTTTAATATTTCATTATAATATTTTTTTGCTAAAGTATAAACATTCTGTTATTAGAGACAATCCTATTTAAAACACTGCCAAATACTAAATATAGACATCTATCTCAACGAATATTGGAATGCTAGTTCATTAGGTAGTCTAAAAGTCTTTACAAAATCAAAATTAGATGAGTTGCAAGAAAATTCATGTTGCTGCTCTGCTCCATGTTGACTTGGAATGGTCAGTGTAAGTAAGTGTTTTCTTTTTCTTTTTTTCCGCTGAAGTATAGGTATCTTCCTATTAGAGATAATCATATCCGAGACAATGTCAGATATTAAATGTGGGCACCTCTCCTAATAAAGATTCAAATATTGGTTTATCACGTTGTAAGAAACTAACCTATTTTATTAGACCCAACTCCTATTAGTGTGTAAGTAAGTGTTTGATAATTGGCCGCTTGGTCCAAATTGCACGGCCCAAAAGAGGTGAATAGCGCCCCCCGAGCTGTGGAATTGAAGGAGACTTGCGCATGTGGTTGCAACTTTGAGGGGGCTAAATCCCGAGGGGGCGTAGGGATTATTGTTTGGATTGGGCCTCGAAGTGTTTTTTTATAAATATTATTGGGCCTTATTTCTTATCCCTTGGGGCCTACAAGTGACATGATGCGGGAGGTTGTGTTTGGATTATAACAGCACAAAAACGAATCCCTAAATACGGAGGCATATTCTGGTCTTAGTGAATTCCCAAAACCTAACTCATTTAAATTTTATTTAGGAGGAAAAAAAAAAGTGAAGGCACTTCACTCTTGATAAACTCTTGCTTTTCATTTATTTTTTATTCAATAGAAAAGGTTATAAAATCAATCCATACAAATTGAATGGTAATAATAATTTCAAAGCGGGACAAATTGTGAATTGTGATATGCAAATATGTAAATTAACTCGCGAGAATTCTCTTTTTATTTCATCTTTGGAACAAGAATTTTTTTTTTAAAACAAAAAAAAAAACCTTGACATGTGAATTGCGATCTGCAAGGGGAGAGTGCAGAAGCAGAAAGTCAGTCAGAGTGGGAGTTGAGGCCACAGAACTGAGAGCAACAGATATGCACGTGCCTGGCTAGTGATTTGTAATTTTGTATCCCATCTCTGCTTCTCATCACTCCCCACTTGCAAATTGCAAAAATCTAATCTGATCTGATCTTCTGTTTTTGGGATACATAAAATAATTCACAAATGAATTCCAAGCCTCCGTTCCCTACTTTCCCCTGCCCAGCGATTTGTATCTTCTTAATTCTCTCTCTCTCTCTATTCTTCTCAACATTTCCCCATCACAGAAATAAATAAATAAATGTTGACGCTCAGTGTTTTATGAAATTATTATTTTTTAAATTTCCAGGTAGTTTATAATCGCAAACAATTGAAATCAAGCTCATCAACTTACCTTATTTCCACCACTTCCTGTGAATTTGTGAGCAAGAATTTTTTTTTTTAAAAAAAAAACCATGTTATTTGAGCATCATGGGTCGCCCGACTGAAGTTGGATAATAAGGTTTCATCAATACCCTGCTTTGAAAAAAATTACCTCTATTAATCTGAAGTCATATTTTCCATTATGATAGAGAGGAAACCATATTGAGGATTTGACACCCCAATAAATGATTACTGTATCCGTCTTAATCCCCTTCTTTGATCTGCTCTCCGTTGGTCCTTCTTGGTGACTCCATCGCCAATTAAATGATGCAGTCTCTTGCGTACTTTCTTTGCCGTCTCCCTTAAATATAATGCTATCATCTGGCATAATTTTCGTCTTCTCCCTTTAACGTATACACCTTGTTTCTAATAAAAATAGACAATACAGACTTTTATGGGGGAAAAAAAATATAATTATCTTGGGTGCAAACACGATACGTCTCTACGCAGATATGTGCACGTAAGTTTGGGCATCTGAAGCTTTGCCACTTTTGAACACGTCGAACTCCCACCAAAGAACAGGGACTAACATGAACTTGGCTTCCCTGGGACCTAATCACTTTTTTTTGGGGGGGGCAATATGGCGTCATCTCATTGACAAAAGAATTGTGTGGGTAACGTGCCTTTTTTCGAACGACCCCTTTACAGAGAGAGAGAGAGAGATATATATATATATATATATATATTTGATTTCTTTCTGTGGTGGTCAGAAATAAATAAAGAATTATAAAATAAAAATGTCAACAGACCCCCCCTCTAAACTCTCTGTTGATCCCAAATCGGTACTTAAGGCTGGGAAACAAAATGCAAGCCCTGCCCCTGATTAAGGCTTCTAAGAACCAAGTATAATTTGGACCAACACCCCACCCTCAACAAACGGTGGATTCACGAGCTGAGTAAAAATATTAGCATTTGCATGCAATATTTAATGATAATTACTCTTCCGGTCCTTGATATAGAACCTGAGTTGATTTTAGTCCTAAATATAAGATTTATTTATCATATTTATCAATTTTCTCTAAATTATTTCTATAGATATTCCGTCAACTATAATCAAGTAAAAGAAAGAGAAGAGGCATTAAGAAAAATGATTATGGTATTTTAGAAAAAACGTGTCATATTTCTTATAATTAACTAACTTACCTAACTTATTTAATATAATCAAATTAGTTAAATAAGTCTTATATTAAGTACCTATTATTTTTGCTATTAAAAAAAAACTAAAATCATATCCGTTCACATAGCTATTGGCGTAAGCGAGTGCCGATAAGAAGCCACCACCCAGGTTCCAGTCAGCGTCAGGCAGACTTTCTTTGGAAAGTTTGAGTTCAATATCGTCGTCACGCTGTGTACACTACGCGGTTTTCTACGGATACAGCTATCAGCCCACCACAAAGGTCTCTTCCCCAGCCTCCCTCTTCTCGTATAAGTCTCTTTTGAAATTTTCCTCGTCCCCCAAAATCATTCTTTGCTTCTGCCTTCCTCTTCCCCAATTCCCATATTGTTTCATCCACTCGTTGCAAATCTCTAGAGCCAACTTCCCAAGGCAGCTCAAAATTCACCCCTCTCTTTCTCTCTTTATCCTGTATTTCTTTGGAACAGGGTACGCTCTTATAAGAAAGTATCACTTTCCCCCAGCTGCTTCTTCCTTTCTGCATCTTTCTGCATAAGTCTGGTCTTGTCGAGGAATAAAAATACTTTCTTTAGGGGAGAAATGGTCCGCTATCACCGGCACCATCAACTCAGGAAAGGTGGAGAATCCATAAAAGACGACGTGTCTCAAAATGAAAATAATGACCCTGGCTATTGCAGGAGAACCAGGTCCAGGTTGTTCTCTCTCTTCTTTCTCACTCTCCTCTCCTGCTGCTTCGTCTTGGCACCTTCTTTCATCGGCTTCTCTTTCAGTCTGCCCCGCTTGTGTAAGTTTCTCGCCTCACGCCTTCCTCTGATTTCTTTCTGTTTTTTTTTTCCTGTTTCTTGTTTCGGTCTTTCCCAATCTCTGTACAACTCTAAATATTGTTTACCTTTCTTTTCGCTTTTCAGACCCTCTTGGCACGGAAAACGGCCCGGCCGTGGTCGGGTTGTGCTCTTCAGTTGCTGGGGGTAGGTGTTCCTATTCTATTGTTCTCTGTGTGCTGATCTTTTTTTTTTTTTTTTTAAGTAATGAAATTCATATCTTCTATCTCAGAAATTCCTATTTTTCATTAGGACTTGGGATAGAGACGTGTCTTGGAAGCCCTCTTCTGTAAAAACTAAAAAGATAGATAGATCAAATTATTGACATATTTGTAACCTTATCAGAGGTCACTATTTGATTCATATGCTTATATATCTTCTATATTTGGCTTGGTCTAACTATTCAACAGTGACTCCTAAGGTTTTTTCTTGTGTTGGATGTTTTCCTTTGATATCTTACATACTTCCATTGGTGATGCAGGAACTATATGTTGTGATAGGACTGGCTACCGTTCTGATATCTGCATAACGAAAGGGGATATAAGAACACACTCTTCCTCCTCCTCAATCTTCCTTTACAATCCCATCGGCGTCCATAATCATATGACTAATGCGTCAAGAACAGCTGTAAGTAGTAAACGGGATGATGATCGGGTGCTCCAACATGAAAAGATCAAGCCATATACCCGAAAATGGGAAACAAGTGTCATGGACACCATTGATGAACTAAACATCATTTCCAAGAAAGTGATTTTGGGTACTGGTAATCATAGTTGTGATGTTCATCATGACGTTCCTGCATTGTTCTTCTCTACTGGTGGCTATACCGGCAATGTTTATCACGAATTCAACGATGGGATCATACCTCTGTTCATCACCTCCCAGCATTTTAACAAGCAGGTTGTGTTCGTCATACTTGAATACCACAATTGGTGGATTATGAAGTATGGAGACATCCTTTCTCATCTGTCAGGCTTTCCCGCCATTGATTTCACTGGAGACAACCGGACCCATTGCTTCCCCGAAGCCATTGTTGGTCTGAAAATCCATGATGAGCTTACTGTGGATTCTAGGTTGATGATAGATAACAAGAGCATTGTTGATTTCCGAAACCTTCTGGATCGAGCTTACTGGCCTCGGATTGAGAGCTTGATCCAAGACGAAGCAAAGGAAGCACAGGATAGATTACTCCCTAGATCATCAGAAAATCAAGGGAACAAGCCTAAATTGACTATTTTGTCAAGAGCAGGATCAAGAGTGATAACCAATGAGAACCTGCTAGTGAAAATAGCAGCGGAAATTGGGTTTAAAGTCGAGGTTTTAAGGCCAGATAGGACAACAGAATTGGCAAAAATCTACAGAGCACTTAATTCAAGTGAGGTTATGGTTGGGGTACATGGTGCTGCGATGACACATTTTCTGTTCATGAAACCTGGTTCTGTGTTCATTCAAGTTATCCCTCTAGGAACATCCTGGGCAGCAGAAACATATTATGGTGAACCTGCAAGAAAGCTTGGATTAAAATATATTGGGTATAAAATCCAGCCCAAAGAAAGCTCTCTGTGTAAGAGGTATGATAGAGATGATCCTGTTCTTACAGATCCAGAAAGCATTAACAACAGGGGGTGGGAATACACTAAGAATATCTATCTTGACAGCCAAAATGTCACATTGGATCTCAGAAGATTCCAGAAAAGGCTGCGTCGTGCTTATGAATACAGTGTTTCGAAATTAAATACGCATCTATCTCAGTAATCTTCATTTGTTCCATGCCTTCGTTTAACTATTTCTTTTCAATTTTTTCATTCTTTAATTTGTGCTACTGGCGGTTTGGTTTGGATGACGCTTTTTCCTTCCCCTCAGCAAAGCAAGACAATTGTAAAAGTATACTTTTTATTAGTAAAACAAACTGAGAGTATATATATTTTGGGAAATGGATTCTCACCCTTGTCCTTCCTCTACCCTCCGTTTGGTTTAACCGTTATTAGATTAAAATTTTAATTTTAATAGTTTAGAATTAATATTTTATAAAAATATTATTATAACTTTTTTATAAAATATTAAATATTTTTTTCATAGGCATTAAATTTTAATTCAATGGTGATAACCGATACAGAGAAAAGCAGGGTGGAGGAGGGGTGGAAGAGGATAGATCCATTCTCAATTTTTCTGGCTATTGTGAAATATGAATCGAAGTAAATATTTAGGAAAAATGACAAAAAAAACCGCCAAAATAAAAACATTACACACACGGGGACCAATTTATAAAAATTATTATCAAAACCCATATTAATATTGTGATGAGTTTTTATTTATAATTGAGAGTTTTTTTTAATCATTTTCTCATAAATTTAAGGGGTCTTAAAAAAGAAAGAGAGAGAGAGAGAAGAGGGACATTAATGATAGATATTTTTCAATGGAAGCATTCCTTGTTGCGTGTCAGTTTGGTACGACAAGGAAGCATGTGAACGTTAGGCAGATTCGATGGGGACCACTAACGGCTAAGAAATTCTGAGTTTTGGGCAGATTATGCATGCCTGCATTGCATTTTTACAGCTTCCAAATCTATTCCTGATTCCAGTTGATGGCACACTTAAGTGTACGGTGAACAAATCGTTTTTTCCTATTAAAAATATGATATTTAATTTTAAAAAAATCATCATATAAAGTCACATTCTAATATTGAGATAGCAGTGGGTATTATCGTCAAACATGTAATTAGCATGGTGCAGTAGTGCAACCTCCACTTTTGACTAAAGAAGGCATTGAATTATGTGATTTTTGTTGCTTAATAAAAAGTAGTAACATTAGTATTTAAAAAGAGAATTGCAACAGGCAAAAAAAAAAAAGAATTGATTTTCTTATTTAAGACCTATATGTAATTATCCCTATACAAAGCATTATCAACACAACTGTGGATCAATTAAAAAACCACTAAAAAAAGTTGACAATTGTTCTTGTTTGACTGAATAGGCAATTAACAATGCGATTCTGGCTGCTGAGCAAAAGTTGGCAACTTTCAACTTTTTATTGAAACCAGTAATGGGGGGAAAAATCAAAACTTGATTTTGACAAAGGTAGTTTCATAATTACAGGAAGAAGACGTTCCTAACCAAGCTACTTAATTGACAGCAACCGACACAATAGTTAGTTTAGGCGTGCTTAGAGTCAAAGCACTGACCCACAGTTATTCCCTGTTTTTCTCTATAGCCACCGTTTCCCACTCTTGGTGGCTGATCGCATTGTAGGAGGCGTTTTCGTGTTTCTGTGCTCCTTATCGCCTACAGAAATAACAGCACTAACGAGTAAAAATTACGCATTCAATGAAATACTAATGAAAAAATAATTCTTTCTTGTGTTTTACTTACTGGAGACCACAGACTTCCCTCCAAGAGAAGATCTACGGGAGTTTTCAGTGCCAGGTGCTTGAATCCCCGTTAGAGATTGTCTCCTTTTTGTTCTCGCAACAGAACTTGGTGGTGATTTTGCTTCAATTATGTTAGTATTGCTCTTCATGGGTGACTTCACTTCCACCATATTTTGTTGGCTCCTGCAATTTCACAAGCAAAGCTTCACTAAAAACGACCAAAAGCAGGAGATAAAACTTGCTTGCTTTATTTCACCCACCTCTTATCTGGTCCATTAATGAGTTTTCCTATGGTCCGTAAGGATTTCCTTATTTGGGAACCTTTGCCATTTGTGCTGCTAACCACATTTGGTGTCTGGAAATCCATGGAAACCGCAACATCGCTCCTTACAGCTTTATATGTTTCAGTCTTATCAAACCCTTGTGTTTCAGGTGTCTCAGGTAGTTTAAGTGGATGAACTTGAGCTGCACAATCTATTTTGATCACCTTCTTCTGATATTTAATGCTTGTAGGACTTCGAGGAGCTTTAGTGTGCAACTCTAACTTGGAACTGCTACTACTGAAATGCCCGACTAGTTTTGGCGCTGGATCAGCATCTCGCAGAGAACGGTTTTTCTGTTGAGATACTGAATCCAACTGTAAAGATTGGTCTACGTCAGTAACATCTTTTGGCTGTACAGTGCCCTTCTTGATTATGCTTTTTGAACCTTCCAAGCTCAATCTTCTTGAACGAGGCATAAAAGAAGGTGATTTCATTCCACTTTTATCGTCAGGCTTCATAGAAGTGTTGTCATTCCTTGTGGCGCTACAGTTCTCAATGCTAAGTCTTCTAAGGCGCAATGGAGTTTTCTCAGATGGAGTCCTTGGTTCTTTAGTCCTACTTAACTGTACTCTCTGTGCTTCCTTGTTCGACAATGCCATCTTAAGGTTCTCAACCTAACAAATCATGGAAAATGAAGCAGAGGCAACCAGCTTAGTATAACTACCTATGATACCAAGGAGTCAACTTAGTAAGCCTTGAATTTAAATCATAATTTTCCAACTCTCTCCCTCTCCCTCTCCCTCTCTCTCTCTCTATCTGTGATAGCATTATATCCAGCTCTCTTACCTGTTCCTTAAGTTGCATAACCTCCCTACTTTCTCTATTCGATCGAGCTGCTCCAAGTTCCACAGTGGAAACTCGCTGAGCAAACTTTAGAGTGCTGATTGTTTCGCCAAAGGACTCTTCTTCAGGACTCACATGAGCAAACATCAATGTTTTGGCTTGCCCACCTGATGCGAAAATTACCAAGAGAAAACTCTGTGAACAAAGGGCTATATATATAATTTAGGGGGAAATGGTTCAATGTTTAATTTGTCATAACAAGGGAAAGCGTCAGAGTGTGAATTACAACCTAAGGAATCCTGCAACAGAAGGGTGAGTTTACTATTCCGGTAAGGGATGTGAGAGTTTCTTTGAGCCAGGGCTGTGATCACATCCCCCAAACAGGAAAGAGACTTGTTGATGAATTGTGCTTCTTTTAGTCTTTCCCCTGTAACTTCAGACTTCTCCACTCGCTCACTTCCAGCAAGGTCTATCAAATGCAAGCAACCACGAATGGAGCTCCCAGAGATATCTTTGCCATGAACATGCACGGTGAGAACACTGAGATCCATGCGGAACAGACTCATCACTATCTCAACTAAACTGTTTTACATTTTAATGTAGCAAGCATAGATTAAATCTAGAACTAATAGCTCCGGTTGGTACTAGAATCTGACCTGTGGGAACGACTACTCCGGTTGTTGATGGAAGTGGAACTAACAGCTCGGTTAACCTCACCAAGTTTCATGAGGCTCAATACATCATGTGTAGATTTTACAGAACGCAATGTAGCATCCGGAAGGTTCAAGCCATTGTCATTACAACTTCGTATCTCTAATTTGTGGTACGTTAAAGAAACGAACTATTTGCAAATAATATTGTAAAATCAGCAGGGAGAGAAGCTTTGAACATTATTATCAACATGTTTCTGGCGCACAATATAAACCAGTAAGAAAAGGATATTTGTTGTCTGTCTTTTCCTCTGCAAGCAAGTCTCTTACTTGCTCATTGTAAATCTCAACCATTTGAACGTAAATGTCGTAAGTTATAATGTCCTTTCGCTGGTTAGACATCTGGAAAAGATCATTTAATGCAAGATAATTAATCCCCATATCTTTAGAAGATCCACCTGATGGCCCACTCTGTCACCAACCAAAAAAAAGAACCCAGGTTAATGTCGGTAACCACTAATAGTGAAGCGGATATAGATCATGTCAAAGTGGCTTACCATGGTATATGTCTTCCCAGATCCAGTTTGTCCATAAGCAAATATGCAAACGTTATATCCATCTATCACAGATCTAATTAGTGGTCGAGTGTCCGTGTATATTTCACCTGAGCATGGTAAATAGTAAATTTCCATATAGAGAAGAACATAAAGAAAAGAATCTGCAAAACTGGTTTGTAAAAGATCGTTGTGGAGCTACCTTGGCCAGCCGATGGTCCAAAAACCCGATTAAACTGAAAAACTTTCCTTCCATCTTTTTGTGTTTTTGATGGATCTAATAGGACTAGAGAACCATCCTTTCCAATGAACTCTATAACATTCTTGGACTCAGCACAGGAGGATGGCCTAATTCTGCAGTAAACTCGAATATTACCTGAATATGATTGAATTTGAAAAGGGTAGACAAAGTTAGTTTAACGAAACTTCCCCCCCCGGGGGGGGGGGGCAACAAGAAGAAGAAGAAGCGTAAGGTAAAAGAAAATCAACCTTTCAGATCTTGGACCATATTATATAACTTGCTGTTCTCCTTCACCACCTTGTAATATCCACATGCAGCAGTGGACATTTCCAGTACCTGGCAGCCTAAACTCATGTCGCAATCAGGAATAGATGATTAAGAGCAATATCAACATGTAACGAAGTTAACACGCCAGGAAAAAAAAGATGACGGTATTTAAAACATCAACACAATTCTTAAACATCATAACCATCCACATTCCAACCTTTTTGGGTATTAGGATATGTGGTCATGGATAGAAACAATACGACCAGATAAAGATTATGTATAAGAAAATAAGCTGCTTCTTATTATGTTACAGTTGGCGTAACAAATTAAAAACTTGCAAAATACAGCGGCTACACATACCTAGGTAATTCAGATCTCTTTGAAACTGGGACTTCATCTCTTCAAACTCATTCTTAGTTTTCGACAGCAGAGCTTTGAGATCCTGAAAGACGCATCATTATACCAGCATTATTATGGGAGCTCATGTTACATACAAATGACCACGTAAACGATGAAATATACATTCATTTTTATGACCTCCACGATAAACAGTACCCGCTAATGCTTTCAGTTTCCAGTAAGAAGGGTGACAAAAGCAACGTTTTTCATTTAAACAATGTTCTAACTGCTTCTTCTTCTCCGTTGTAACCAATTCTAATTCAATAAACAAGCTACATGGAAACATACCACAAGTTCTTTTTCCTGCTGGTCAAAGAGATGCTTCTGGCTGCAAGTGCACTTAGTAGTGC